CGCTGCGGGTATAGCGGTCGTCTCTCGGCCAGCAGGAAACTGGACTGCTCCAGAACGGAGCACGACCGTGAACGTCATCTCCGCCGGCTGGTTTCCATAGAACGACGGCGACGTGTCGGCCATCACGCTCCACGCGGAGAAAAGGGAAAGTGAGAGGTGATCGAACCATTCGTTCAATAGCTTTTCGATCGATCTATAGAGTATCGATTTTATAAATATCCAGGAAAAAGATTTCGAACAAGAGAACAATGGCACGTTTCGAGAGGAGGATGACGGAGTCAAGGGGACAAAATGTAGAATATTGTAAGATTCAGGCCTGTTCGACTCCTTAAGCAGACAAGGCGAGTCGAGGATTAGCTCCACACGATTCACATAATTAAACGAATTATTTCTAGATGGTTTGAATTCTAGGAAACGAAGGATGGAAGTTGTAATCAAATATGTAGTTTTCCACTTTCGTCTGGAAAATTGAAATCAGTTTGGTTCCATTGGTACCATTGGTAAAGCTGTTCGATCTTATGAATAATATTTTAATACGATACTACTATAGAAAATACGATAAAAGATTAGAACGACAGAGTAGAATTTGACAAAGTTGAGTTCAATAAAGAGGCGACTGGTCCCATTCAAGACAGCTTTCTATGAGATCGACGATACACAGAATATCCGAAAACGACAAACTGATGCAAAATTTTAAAATTCTTCTACGAGCCAAAACGACACAAAAACGAAGACCTTACTAAATTGCGTTTGTTTTTGTTTCTCGATTATCTTCGTTGAATAATCGGCTAAAATATCTACGAGGAGTAGGTGGAGGAGGAGGAGGAGAAAACGTGGAGAGTCGGCGTAAAGGCGCGTCCATAATTGTAAGTACGGTGACAGGGATACGTTGACGGCGAGAGAAAGGCACGAGGAGGAAGAAATACGAGCCCGTGAACGAAAACAACGTGACACGACAAAGTAAGAGAATCGGAGAAGGTAAAAAAAGGAGCGAGATAAACGATGGCAGCGGTTGCTTTAAGCGTATTATGCACGTAGGGAGACGGCGCCGAATGTTTTTGAAACACGTAAGACACGCGCTCGGCGGTTCACTGACCGAGTTATGACGTCACCACAACTCTCTCTCTCTCTCTCTCTCTCTCTCTCTCTCCCTTTCTTCACCTCTCTTTATCTCTTTTTTCTTCCTACCACCCTCTATTTGTCACGGGGCAACTCCTGTCTCCCTTGCCATAATCGAGAGGCCAACGTCCCGTTGGATCGGTTTCGTGTGTCACACACATGTGTTTCTCGAGTACTTACGTACGTACTTGCCACCGTGAATGTTTCTTCGACACGTATGACGTATATCTATCTTCGTTTCTGTGCTTAAAGAAATTTTATTTTTGGCAGTTTCGTTGTTTGAAGCGCAAAGGGATCAACGTCACGTTTATGAAGACCGATCGCTCGATCGTTTGAAGAATGAAATATTAGTCGTTCTAGATCGTCCTCTAACGATAGAATTAAGAATTTTCGTCGTTTCTGCGCTGGGGAAATTTTACGTGACTGTTTTGTTGCGTAGATTATGAGGAGGACAGAGTTTATTAAGGTTAATTGGTTGGTTCGCGAAGAATTAAACGGTAATTACTTATTCCACTAGCTACTGTAGTTAGGTCATTTTCAAAAATCCAGTTGGTTAGCGGTACATTCTCTTTCGTGAAAATTTCCAGACCAAAACTGACACAATTTCTCTTATACGATGTTAATAAGTTTAACGATAAAACAAATATAAGGTTCGACAAATAAATTTAAAAGGTTACAACCAACCGCTATACCATTATTTCGACGGTCCAAGGAGTATGGTAATTTCCATGAAACATCTTTTAAGAATTCCTTATTTGTACTGTAAAAAGTAAGAAGCATCGGCAAACTTGCTTCGCTGTAATTCGTAACACAGGAAAGTGTTTCTAATTTGAAAGAGTATCTCGCTAAAGTGAAACACAATAAATTTATGTGTCTAATTTCGTGAACATTCCAGTTCACTTGTTCGGACCAAACTTGAAAATGAAACGTCCAAACAAAGCGCAACGTAGCTACTAATAACGCGATTGAAATCCGAAGAATAACAAATATACGTATCGTCGATTCGAACATTCGCTGTGACAGTCTAAAATCTAAAATGCCCAATAAATTGAATCAATTCGCTAATGGACGATTGCGACACCTTCCTAGCGTGTTAAATCCGCGAGAATGCAACGGTTGGTTGGTTGGCTTGTAGCCCGCATTCCAGGCGATCCCGCGCCCGAGGTGTCCTCCTAATTTTCTGTCGCGAAGCCTTCATAAATTTCGCGCGGAACTTGGCACGCACGCA